ATGCTTGTGGGGAGGTTGTCCCTTGAGCTAGTAATAAGTAATCAGACTAATGCAATTCTTTTTTTATGTAGCTCTGTCCAGAATAGCGAACGTGGCAAAAAAATTGGAAATGTCATGGCCACCACTAGCCGGAATGTTGTACAGACGGGAAAAGCTGTAGGTAAGAAATTTGTTCACTGAACCCCAGCCTGGAGCACTAAGGAAGTATCTAATACTAATAGATCTAATGCAGAAGATATATCTGCAAGTATTGCAGCTTTCATGTTTAATAGTAGAGACAAGACGTAAATTTGAAGTGCTTCAAAATGCAGCTGCACTGTAAAGCATTTCAGTGGTAGGTAGATGTGCAGCTTCTTGCTGTGCCTCCCTGGCATGTAGGAGGGGCACAGAAGTGGACTTTTAGTGAGCACTCTGAAGCAGAGTCGACTGTCAGCACATTCTCATGTGGTCTACCTCTGCCCAGTTTGTGCTGTTCTGATGGTATGCCTCCATTGACTTCAGTAGGCTTTAACACGTCCGTTGCATTTTAACAAGGAGCATCTCTCCATCTTGACTCTGCTAAGGGATCTGTCCCCACATTTAGTGGTGGGATGGACCATCAGCCTGCCACACAATTTCCAGTGTGCTGGCTTTTGTCAGCATTTTGGAACAAGCTATGCAAAATAGAAGTGATCTGCCTGCTCCTTCAGTCTCTCTTGAGGGCTAAGGAGGCCACCCAGAGACCAATTATTGCTGGTTGACCATAGCATTTATTCCAAGATACCACACTTAATGGCACAGATTTTTGGATTTGCATTGTAAATTAAATCTCTCTTGTTTGCAGTCATTCAGTTTCATGTATAATTGGGTTTTTTATGTAAACTTTTCTCTTGTTTAAAAATGCAGGTCAGTCAGTTGGAGGAGCCTTCACCAGTGCAAAATCAGCCATGTCCTCGTGGCTTTCCACTTTTACTCAGTCAACGCAAGGCCTCGGGGACTGAATATAGCACATGAATGAATAGTGGCTTTACACTGTGCTTCTCAGTATTTCAGTTGTACTGGTCTTTCTCAGCTATACAAAGACTGTAGTAAAGTGTAGGTATGGAGACTTAGCTGTGGAGGACCAAATTGTTGTTGTTTGTTGCATACAGAGAAAACTGAAATGTTACTCTTCAGTGTCACTGTAAGTTTGAGTTTCTCCCCCAATATTGGGAGGATAAAAGTGGCATATAAAGCTCTATTGCAGTACATCAGTTAGTTATTTTAAAATGAGTCCTTTTCTTTAAATCTGAGCCTTCATAAAGACACTAACAAATAAACAAGGCTTGATGCAAGCCAGAATATAGGTTTGAATTCAAACGTGTACATTTTCTTGAATAGTGAAGAAGTTTATGTAAATTAGCTGTATTTTACAATTCAGATAGCCAGATAGTTCCTATAATATTTGTTAGAACTGAAGTGTAACAATACTGATTCATACATTTGGATCTAAGGGCGTGTGTATAAAATTAGCAACACAGGCCAGGCTGAGCCCTTCTTGCTGTCAGTTTTAAATGAAATCCAGCACTGTTGCTGATTGAGGCTGCTTGATGTGATTTATACCCCATCATCAAATATGTGTGTTCATCTCTATTTAGCTTTCTTTTCTATCCCCACAAACCTTTGTGACATTTGCAAAGTCAGTTTCTTGTTGTTATTTGTATTCCAGTGGTCAGAATATTAACTAGTTGAAATGGTGAATGTTTCCACCAAACTTGTCACAGGACTTGAGCAGAAATTCCAGTTAAAGAGATTTCTTTAGGGAAATGCATAACAGAATAGACTCTACAAAAATATGAATTCAAACACTGGACAAATATAGCAGGTCAAATAGAGCAGAATTATAAACAGTTACATGCAAGTGAATACAAGACTGCTACTAAATAAGGACAGTAGTTTAAACTTAACATTTTGTTGCCAGGAAGATCATGAAAGACTTTTGAGTAAAAATTGTCCAGATGTGGTTAAGGCTTTCATTTTTTTTCTTTATCTACTCAGGGAATATCCTTTTCATAGGTAAGGACTCTTTTCATTTTGAAAGCAAAACTGCTATTGTAGAAATCTGAAGGTGAGCCATAAAAAAAGAAAAATGGCATAGCCACTTGTACCTGGGGTGACAATCCTGTATTTAGTACATGCCATGTGTCTGTATCTAAGTATATCCTGAAACAGGAGCACTTGTTCATCAAACTTGAATCTTTCTTTCATCTCTGACAAAAATCTGTAAACATCTGCATTTCAACCCCTATTCTCTAACTTAACATTCCGCTTCATAAAGAATGCTTATAAGATGAAATCATGTCTTTATGAACATTGGTGGGAGCTTTGCCATTCATTTTCATGGGACTAGGATTTTGCCTGTAGTTATCTAGGATGTCTATCTCCTCCTTCACTTTGAAAGAGTAGAGCTGCAGTAGCTCTTCATCTACTTCACACTTAAAAATTAAGATCACTAGACAGCCTCTTAATTCAGCTTCTTTCAAAAGATTTAAAGCCACATTTGCAACCAATTTCCATACACTGACACTTCTGTTCCCTTGTTTTTCATCTTCATTGTTCCTCTCAGCTTCCTAAAAAGCCAGTGTTTTTAAAAACTAATTACAAGTAGAAACCCTTGATTTAAAATTAAATTTCACAGCTATACAAGTGGTTTTACTTCTAAAGCAAATATTTCTCTTGTGCCATTATTTTTTCCTACAGAAATAATGGTTACTCACTAACTGCTTGTATTGCTTTAAACTAAATAAGTGTTCTGTATCTTTTCTGCAGTACTTGAATATAGCTCAGCTCTGTCCCCTTTGGCTTTTTTCCCATTATTCTGTTGTCTTAAAGACCAGGAACACTCAACATGTACATACCTCTGAAAGAAGCTAGGTTAGAGTAGAAGAACTTTCCTTGACTTCTCATTGGCCATAAAGATTTCATGCATTATGCACATTAGAAAATAGCATGCTTATTTGGGGGAAACTTTGAAGCAGTTCCTTATATTATTTGTTGACTTGAGCCTCAAGTATTCAGACTTCATGTTGTAGTGAAGGCAGTCTGTGGCCTCTAGGCCAGTGTAGGCTAGAAGATGATTATTAGGAGTCAGATAAGTAGCTGGGATTTACAGGTACAAGGTGTAGAAGCAGGGCCCTTATGGTTCCCCCTTCTTCCTGTATTTTAGGACTCTGCCCTTTGCTATTGCCGACTTCGTTAACTTTCTCCTCGGTTCTAGGAGCCTACGAGGAATCCTGAGTGGAAGATTACTCATTCAGGAGGATGTCCTCTATAGCAGCAGGCCTGCTGCTGCTGTGTAGTGAGTCTCAGAGCTCCAGGGCTCTGTAGACATTGGCACAGTTAATTCAGAACTTGTGCTCCATTAACAGTTGCGTGATATTCTCCCAGCTGTCCTTGTTCAGGAGTGAGAGAGGAAAATACTCTTGGTACAGCCACTTTCTCCTACCCTTCAGCATTAAAGTTCAAGTATTAAATTGGCAGCTTTACTTGTACTTTAATTCAAGTGATGCTCAGAGAGAAAGGTAGGAGAAACGTGGGGGTACGCGTGCATATGTCTCATTTTTTCAAGGAGCAGCTTCTTGCTAGCTGTCTGAAACAGTATTTACCTCAGCTTTACTACAACCAATGCAGATGAAGAGATCATTAGTAGATACACTCTGCCAGTCACCTGAACTACATTTGGGCAATGGTGCATGTAGCTACCAAAACAAATGCAAGGCCTTGTCCATTTGGATGTCTTACATAGTCAGTCCTTCAATTTATTGTAATACTGATCTCTAGTAAATCAAACTCAGTTAGTGGAACAGGTATTTCTCTAATGTGCAGTGTCTAAGTCACAAAATAACTGAAGATTTGCATCATACAACACATTGTGAAGGCATGTTTGCATGTCACTATGTAATAGTTGTGGCTGTTTGATTCCACTGAACAACTTCCTGGCAGATGAAGCATCTAGTTGTATGCTCTGTGCTAGTCAAAGCCTTTTCATCAAACCCAGACACCAGTGGAACTACATGTAGGTCCCAAACTCAAGACTGAGTACCATTGACCAAATTAGTCAGTCCTGTATACTAAAGCTTTTGCCCCTAACCAGCAATCCACTTGATACCATACACTTAACTTCCCTGCACATGATACTGATCAGACTATATACCGTGCCATTTATAAGTACCATTTAAAAAAAATCAGTGTTCCACTCTATTTTCATTTTACCTTGTACCACTGTTTTAAACATTTTTGTAACCAAATTTAAAATTTTGCTGAAAACAGCATTGATTTCAGCAAAATGTTACTAACAAACTAAAAGGGCAGTATTACTAGTAAAAGTGAAGGCATAAAATGAGATATTTTGAAGACAAAAACAGACATTTGATAATTAAACATTATTGTCATGTATCCGGTTGTGATTTTGTGCTGCTTGGAAATAAATGCATCAAATGTGTTTAAAAATGTCTACTTAATTTTTATTTTTTTTTTTGAAAAATATAAGCAGGCCAGTGCCAATGCCGCAATCTCCCAGCTGCAGAGTGCTGCCAAGAGGGGAGTTGGCAGCTGTTGGGGCCCTTGGCGGGAGATGCAACTGCTGCAATCTCCTCATTGTCTAAAGCAGTGACTTAGCATAGATATGAAAATTGAAAGCAGTATCATTGAAAGCACTTATCATAGGAGACTGACTTTTGAAATTGAGGCTTCTAGTGCCATGTAACGCAACTTGGTGATTACCCCAAACTTATAAAAGCAATTAAATCAGTTGATACAATTTATAAAAAAAATAAAAATGTAAATACAGCACAACAAAAACTTGTAAGATTTTTTTCAAATGTCTATAAATCCCTGTGTAGCTTTTGTATATGCAATAGCTTAACTAGAAGAGATGAAAAATTTTAAAGTAGATAGTCTTATAGTGACATGATGCAGAGATCACAGAGTATTCAACCTTAGAGGTATCTTGTAAACTTATTGTAGACTGCACAGCACTTACTGGTTTGGCAGCAACGGTGTTCTTTCCACACGTCTTCTAAACTTACTTACTTCTACACTTTTTTAAACAATGCAGGGGTATTTATCCAAATAAATGCTGAAGCCATTCTCAAAAACATATATTATTTGATGGATAATTCATTGTTTCCATGATTTAACAACATCCCAATATAAATCAGATGCACAATTAAGATTTTTTCAAAAAGATTTGCTTATGTATGTTTTACCTCTATGAAATAAATGTCAGTTATGTAAATAAGAGGTGGTTAAACTTTTCATCTATTGTTTTCATTTTATGGAAAATGTTCCTTTGTCCATTTCAAGCCAGAAAAGCTTCCTTGTGGTACTAGGCTTTTTAGTGACTTGAGTTCTGAAAGAATCCCTTTGTGGATATGAGGACCAAATGACTTGGACTAAGTACAGACATTCAAAAAGCCCAAGGCAGAATCTGCCCAATCTATGCAGGTTTCTCTAAGCTGCATAGATTGGATCAGGAGTGAATGGAATTCATGTTCCCTCTTCAGTTTGGGGGGAAATGCAGATGCCTGCATGGGCTGAGGCCAGAAAGCAGCAGCTCCCACATGCCTCCTGTTCAGGGACCATTCCTGACTGGCTGTCAGGTACACTCCCTTAACCCCCTGCTGTCACTAGCCTTTCCCCTGCCCAGCCCAAGGCTAGGAGGTAACATCCAAGCCCTGCATCTGCCAGGACCCAGTTGGGTCCTGGCACCAGGAGATGCACTGCTGGGACCCAGCATCCATAACTGTAGGACTTTGGGTCCTGGCACCTGTGGGGTGCTGCCAGGAGAGCTGGCAGCTGCTGGGTCTGAGAGATGCATCTGCTCTTATCCCCCAGCCCAGGGGTTTCACAGAGCCTTGAGCTGGGAGACTGCAGCAGCTGCCATCTTCCAGCCCTTCGAACTCTAGAGAAGTTGCCCAGCCCAATTGCAGGAATTGCATCAGGTGCCTGCCACTCCCTAGAGCTCCAAAGGGCCCGATTCTTCCCCCTAAAGAACATGCTCCTCCCCTGCCTAGGGACATTGTGTATAGAAAATTGTACAGGTGCTCTTGCCTGTGGCTGAGAGCTTGGAGCAGTAGAGCATGGCTGAGGCTAGCAAGCTGCTCTGCGAGGAGGGGAGTTAGTGGAGGAGCCACAAAGGCACCTGGTCAGCCAGGGGACTGATTGCAACCTAACTTGAGCCAGGAGGGATCTGGTAATGAAGTTCAATAGACAAGTCTAAATTAGATCAAATAAGTCTGATACCACATCCAGGTCTATCTTAGACTGGGATCCGCCACTGTTAAAGCTGTCTGTGCACCCCAAACTTCTGTTCTATTACAGAAAAAACTGGTTTCCAACCACTTAAACTAGAAGTTGTAATGTTTGCACCTGGCCCGCACATGACACACTCCAGTTCTGAAATTTTGGACTACATGGTTTATTCTTTAGTAGACAAGAGAGAAATTGTGGGAAAACTTTAATATTTCTTGTAAGAATTCAATCACTGGACCTGTTTCTTGTGAGTCAAATGATCAGATTTAAATTAAGCAATGTCTGTAGTGCTTAACATTACATCAGAGCTTTAGTATTTGGTAATTTTGAAACGAGGACTCTTGTAAATGATTTAAGAGTAAAGCCATTCCCAAAGTATATTCCACTAAGGTGTTTGTACAGTATGTTCTAAAAAGAACAGCTCAAAAATAAATATTATTCTGTTCCTTCTTTTACTACAGATCAGTATGCTTGCAAAGACTTATTACTCATACTCAAGTAACAGGCATTATCCTTAACAATGTAACAAGACCTTTACTAAATCATCTTCTCAGCTATATCTATGGATCAAAGTAGAACTGTTTTCTGGAGTCACCCCAGAATGAAGACAATGAATCGGAATAAGATTAATCTTATAAAACACTTACATCCTTCATCCTTCCTACGTTGTATTTTAGGAAGATAAGTATGGAGCTACCTCAGGGAGAAAGATGTACCTGTGTTTGCAGTCTACAGCTGTCCCTGAAGAACTAAACTTTGCCTAGAACTAAATTTACAGCATCTCCACTTTACTGCCATAGGCATTTAATTATCAATTAATACAGTTTTATTT